GTGCTGTGTCCCCACCGGGTGTGGCCGGTTGATGGGAGGTGCTGGTTTCTACACCTGGGGGTCTCCCGGGTGTGGGTGAGGTCGGTGGCCTCAGAGTTGTGCCAGAGGGTGGGTGAGGGCCTGTGCCTCCCCCAGAGCTGGTTGTGGAGGGCCCCTGGGAGGGGCCAGGGGGTCTGGGGGCCTCGGAAGTGGTGCTGCTCCAGGGCCCAGTTGTTCCTCCGGCCTCCGGGGAGGGGGGGACATCTGGGGGCCGGGAAGAGTGTTTGGGCTTGCCTCTGCCCGTCCCCTGCACCCCTGCCTCGGGGAAGGGAAGGGCTTATCTGGAGAGCCCTGGGGCTCACCTGTGGAGGGGGGCTCCTGCTCGGAAACTTGGATCTCAATGACTGTGGTCGCAGTGCCCAGGCTCACCGTGTTGTTGGCCTCAACCTGGGGCAGGAAGGGGCTTGTCCCTCCTGGGTTCCTCCTTAAGCCCCACACCCTCAGAGACATCCCCCCACCCTGCCGTTCACCTCTGCGTAGAAGGTCCCCGCCCTTGGCAGTGTGGTGGCGGTCAGCACAACCTCTCCCTCCATCCGGAAGTCTGAGTGGTTGGTGATTCGATACGTGATAGCCGAGTTGAGGTCCTGGAGAGGCCCCATTGAGTTCCCGGCCAGGCTGCCTCCCACATGCAGCTCTGACCCGCCTGCAGCGTGGAGGCCAGGTGGGCCCAGAGACCCCGGGCAGGGAAGGCAGCCGGATGGGCAGCGGGCATCAGCCTCGGTGTGCTGCCTACCGGGAACTCCGGGTCCTGAGCCTGGATCCTCAGAGGCCGAGAGGGGGCAGCTGCGTCCTCGACCACAACACCTGCTGCAGAGCCAAGCGCCACAGTGCCACGGTACAGGCTCTGGGGGAAGCGGGGTGGGCTTCCGGCTGCAGCCACAGCCCTCACGGTGACCTGGGTCACTGAGTAGCGGGCGAGGTCAGCCTGCTGGCCCTGGAGGCGGGGAGGCAGGACTGGTGGGGTTGAAGGTGGGGCTGGAGCCTGGGGCTCAGGAAGGGCAGGTGCAGATTGGAGGGGCCCCGCCGTGCCCCCTGTGGAGGTGCCCACCTCACCTTCACCAGGAGAAGGAAGGTCATGGGGCTGGGGACACTCCTGGCCATGGTGAGGTTACCAGAGTCTGGGTGGATGACGAACGTGTCATTCACGTTTCCTGGGAGGACGAGGGAAGTGCTCAGCTACAGCCCCCTGAGGCTCAGGGACCCAGCCAGCTCTGCCTAGCTGCCAGGTGGCCCTAGGTCTTCCATAGCCCCAGGTGGGGACAGAGACAGGGACAGAGAGGCGGTCCAGGGTGTTGTTGTGGGCCGGGCCCCACTCACCAGCCTGGATGCTGTAGATGATGCGTTGTTTGATGCCACGGTCTCCATCCTCAGCATAGATGGGTCCAGGACGCAGGACAAGGGGGGATGGCTTCAGGGGCGACGGAGGGGAGGGCAGTGTGGGGTGGGGTGGATGGCCGCAGCCTGGCCCCTCTGGCTCCCCCCAGGGTCAGCCAGGGCAGGGCTGGCCGAGGAGGGGCCTGTCGCTCTGGTGGCTGGGCGTCCTTGCCTGCCTGGGACGTCTCCTGTCCCAGCATCAGAATCAGTGACCCCCCGTGGGTCCCTTACTATGAGTCAAACTGCCCAAAAATATTGAGACCCATTTGCACAAGGCTTGTCTTGACAGGTAAGGAAACATTTAGAAAGGGCAGGACCCTGGGTGTCTGCATTCCGCCTTTCACCGAGCCTTCGGTGACCCAGGCACGGGTTCCCGCTGCCCCGGGTGCCCTGGTGCCGTGAGGTCCGCAGGCAGCCTGTGAGGCCTCAGTGGTGACTGTGAGCAGGGCAGAGACGTCACCGTCCCTTGAGACCTCCAGGGCCCCAGCCCACCTCCCCGGGCCCACGGTCCTCTCTGTGTGGAGATTTGCTCCCTCACCACCTCCAGATGGGAAGGATTGGTTTACAAGGAGAGTCTGTATTTGTTTCAAAATCACAACCAAAATTGGCTTCACCCCTGATTGGCCCGACCCTCTCCTGACCCCGACCCTGACCCCGGCCATGCTTGCGTCCATGCACTGCTCCTCCCTCCCCATTACCAGTATGTGCCCAGTAGGGACAGCCCCGAGGTACTGGGCTTGGATGCAGACGTAGCCGTCTGAAAAGCTGCAGGGCAGGAACCAGGGGGGCCGCAGGTCGGCGGGCAGCACATTGAGCACCAGCGTGGCGGTGGCCGTGTGGCTGGGCTCCACGTTCTCCTCCGGGGTGTCCTGCAATGGCCGGCTGTGCTGGACCAGGCCTGGGAGCAGCTGGGTCCGGGGGCCTCAGGTGTCTGGGACTCGGGGCTGGGGCCACCTGCTCACCCGCACCAGCAGCCGGAACGCCATCTTCGGCCGCTTGTCGAAGTCCAGGGGCCGGTCCAGCCTCAGGGCGGGACGGTTTGCACCCACCAGGGAGAAGTAGTCACTGGCACCCTGGAGAGGGTCAGGGGGCAGAGCCTGAGAGCCTGGGAGGGTGAGGGGCCCGTGCCGGGGGGCAGGGTGGGCAGCACTGACTGTGGTCTCCTCCTGGAGGGTGTAGAACAAGATGTCATTTGCGTCTGGGTCCTTGGCCTCCAGTTCCGTCTCGGGGATGACGATGGAGTTCACTTTAGTGTCCTGGGGAGGGAGAGGAACTTGGTCCGGCCGTGGCCCCTGCAGACCCCACTGTGATTGAGCCCCCTGCCCTCACCCTGGGCCCCTGCGCCCCGCGTGTCCAGCCCCAGCATCGCTGGCCTCACCTCCTCCACACTCATCTCCTTGGTCGTAAAGGGGAACTCGGGGGGGTTGTCATTGACGTCCAGCACGGACACAATCACCCTCGTCTGGGTCACCTGTAGGGTGTGGCCGTCAGCCTCTCCCACAGACAGCCTCCCCCACCGTGAGTGAGGTGCAGCCTCAACAGCCATCCGTCCATGCATTCACTCATTCAGTGTTGGGGGGCTGCAGGGAGGCTGCCCAGTTCTCGGTGCCGGGACGCGGAGATCACAAGTGACAAATCTCTGCCCGGTCCTGGCAGGACTCACAACAATAAACAAAATGGAATCTGTAAAGCTGGGGAGTAGCAGGTTCCCCCCGGGAAAAATGCAGGTGCTGGGGATGCAGCTGGCAGAATCTCAAGTGAGGACACAATCCGGTTTCGTTTTTTTGAGACGGACTCTCCCTCGGTCTCCCAGGCTGGAGTGCAATGGCGCCATCTCAGCTCACTGCAACCTCCGCCTCCCGGGTTCAAGTGATTCTCCTGCCTCAGCCTCCTGAGTAGCTGGGTCTACAGGTGCGCGCCACCACGCCCAGCTAAGTTTTGCATTTTTAGTGGGGACAGGGGTTCACTATGTTGGTCAGGCTGGTCTCGAACTCCTGACTTCAGGAGATCCACCTGCCTCGGCCTCCCAGAGTGCTGGGATTACAGGCGTGAGCCACCGTGCCCAGCCAACAATCCAGTTTCTTCAAACAAATCCCCAAGAAAAAAGGCGGGAGAAACAGGAAAGTGCAGATTCACAGAAACTCAGGAGGATTTCCAACAGGGGCAGTGGGGTGTGAACCTCGCTTGGACCCGATTCAAACAAAAAATTGTAAAAGACCCTTCAGAGACCACGGGAATGTGGCATCCTGGACACTCGGGGATGGCAGGGAGCGACCACTTTTCCCAGGTGTGAAATTGACATGGTGGTTATGTTTTAAAAAGACGGTTCCCGGCCGGGTGCGGGAGCTCACGCCTGTAATCCCAGCACTTTGGGAGGCTGAGGCGGACGGACCACCTGAGGTCAGGAGTTTGAGAAGCCTGACCAACATGGAGAAACCCCGTCTCTACTAAAAATATAAAATAAGCCGGGCATCGTGGCGGGCGCCTGTAATCCCAGCTACTCGGGAGGCTGAGGCAGGAGAAATCACTTGAACCTGGGAGGTGGAGGTTGCAGTGAGCTGAGGTCTTGCCCCTGCACTCCAGCATGGGTGACAGCGGGAGACTCCGTCTCAAAGAAAAAAGGGTCCCTCTCTTTCAGAGACACATCCCAAGATACGTGTGGTGACGCGCCGTGGTGTGTAGAGGGCGCAGAGCCCGCCGTCCGGTGGTAGGTGGGGGCCTGTGCTGGCCTCAGGATTCTCAATTTTCCTTAATTGCAGAAGTGGTGGGAGTACAGGTGGGCGGATGGTGGATTTCTGGGTCGAGCTGGGCAGATTTACCAGTCGGGGGAGTGGGAGCCGAAGCGGTCCCAGTGACTGGCAGGATGAAGGTGCTTCCCTGGCGGGGGCAGTGCTGGTTGAAGAAATGGGTGCAAGTCTCGGGCACACTGGAGGCAGAGTCTGGGCTGGAGGAAGTGTGGGCATCACTCTTGGACCGTGGCATTTGAAAGCAGAGCCGAGGTGAGGTCACCAGGGAGTGGCTGTGGACTGAACCCAGCAGAAGTGGCCAGGCGGGCAGGGGATCGGGGCAGGTACTCACCAGCAAGCCTCCCCTCTGGCACCGCAGCTCAGCCTGAAGCAGTGAGTTCTCCTGTGGAGGCAGATGGGCCTGCAGTCACCACCCCACCCCACAGGTGCCAAGGGGACAGGTGCTGGGCCAGACCCCACCAGCAGTGGTCAATCCTGAGCCGTGGGCCCAGGCAGCTTCCTCCCTAAATGGCCCGGCCTTCTAGGCAGGCACCACCAATCGTGGATGTCAGTGGATGCTGTGGGCACAGAGCCCCTAGGCTCCCGGGGAAGGTGTGGCCTGGGGATCCGAGGGCCCTTCCCCCCAGCCCCTCCACCCCGCCCACCTGCCGCCCACACCTCACCTCGTAATCGGGAGTCACGTTGAGAAACAGCTGGTTTCTAAGGATCCGAAACGCGAAGGGGGTGGACGAGGGTCCGAGGGTCACCTCCAGGCCCCCTGGGACGTGGATGTCCACCAGGGGCTCGGTGACATTTGTGTTCTCCTCAACTTCGAAGTAGGTCTGGTTCACAGAGCAGTCTGTAAGGTTGCAGAGGAGGGGTCAGCACCTCCCAGCCCCCGGCTCCCTCTGCCCGTGCCCCCACCTACCCCTGCCCGGACGTACACTGGGCCTGGGCCAGGGCCCCCGGGGGTTGGCCGAGCAGCCCGGCGAGCAGCAGGGGAGGCCACAGCAGGGCCCAAGCCCCCATCTTGGCGGCCGTCGCCTGGCGGGAGGGTCCGAGTGGCTCTGGCACCCAGAGCTGGTGCAGTTCCTGCCTCAGCGACCTTCGCCCCAGGGCGGCACCACCCGCTTTATGATCCTTTACAACCAGCCTCTGCCAAGGGGGCTCCCGCTGGCCGGCTGGCCGCCAGGAGGGATGGTCATGTGGCCCAAGCTGGACTCAGGGCAGGGGTCAACCAGGGGCTCAGGCCACAGACCCCAAAGCACAGGGTAGGAAGGAGATTGGCTCTTGGGCCTCATGGGGCAGGGGGTGGGGGGGCAGGGTGAGGGAAGGGGGGATGGGGGGTAGGGTGGGGGTGGGGGGGCAGGGCCGGGGACAAGGTGGGGGGGGGGCGGGGGGGGGGGGGGCAGGGGCGGGGGGGGGGGGGGGGGGGGGGGGGGGGGGGGGGGGCGGGGCCGGGGTGTGGGGGGAGAGAAGCTGGGGGCTGGGGGCAAGGGCTTGGCCCTTGGTGTCCAGATGTATAGAACCTGCCCCCCTAGCCTGGCTCCTCCCCCAAGCTCTCCCTCAGGCAAAGTTCCCAGCACCACCCCTGGAGGCTCAGAACCCAGGTGTTTCCCAGGGATCACCTCCCTCCCTCCCTGATGCAGGTTCTGAAGGAAAAGGCTCTCCTCCTGTGTCCTAGGGACACCCCTGCCTTTCCCAGAGACAAGTTGGCCTCTCAGGGTGGGGCTGGCCAGGGCCTTAGTAATGGAGACGGCAGAGCTCTGAGGGCAGCTGGGAACTCTTGGGGGCCCTCATGCCCAACAGAAGCGGTGAGGTGAGACTGGACGCTTGCCCTGCTTTTTTCTTTTTGCAACCTCGGACCCCTGGGTTTGAGGGATTCTCCTGCCTCAGCCTCCGGAGTGTCTGGGATTACAGGCACCCACCACGACGCCTGGCTAATTTTTGTATTTTTAGCAGAGACGGTTTCAGCGTGTTGGCCAGGCTGGTTTTGAACTCCTGACCTCGTGATCCGCCTGCCTCAGCCTCCCAAAGTGCTGGGGTGACAGGCGTGAGCCCCGTGCCCCGCCACTCTGCTCTTTTTCTTGGCCCCCCAAACCCCCAGCTGTAGGGAGAGGCCACTGGGTGGGGTCAGGGCGAGGAAGGGGCTGTTGTGATGGAAAAGTGGATCCTTCCCTGCGGACCTGTGTGCTGAAGCTTCTGGCCTCTCATGGCTGGGGCTGGGCTCAGTGTCCCAACCCTGGACTGCCCTGCACCCCCATGGTGGCCCGAAGCCCTGCACGCTCTCTGCTCCACAGGCTCTGCAGGGTCAAGCCACTGGTTTGAGGCCACACAAGATAGAGGGTCCGAAGTCCTCATGCCCGAGTAGACTCCTGGCACCCTGGGTGACACCCCCACCCTCCGGTTTTCCTGCCTGCCTGAGCCTCCTGGCCCCTTCCAGAAACACTGAGCACATGGCTCCCTGACAGGAGCTGGGGGGCCCCTGAATGTCTGCATGACACGGGTGGGGCAGGGCCCTGGGCTGCTTAGTCGGTGTACAGGAGGTGGCCCTGATGCCACAGATAAGGATGGGCGGCTGCCGTGGCCACTGGGTGTAAAGGCAGCTGGGTGTGGTCACAGCCCCTGTGGGCAGATGGGCCCTTCCATCTGCAGCCCCAGTGCACAGGGGCTGCCTCGATTGTACCAAGTGGACACAGCAGACTCGCAGCGTCTGGGTCTGATTCCTCCTTTATTGGTGCCAAGTACTGCCACTCCCCCTTTCCCCAACCTGCCCCCCAGCACAAGTGCAGCTCCGCTGTAGGCCTGGCAGGTGGCGAGGGGGTTCCTTCCTCATCTGGGCCTCGGGATTCCTTCTGTTGCAGCGACACCGGCTTGTTCTGAAACCATAACCCCAGGCCCGGGCCCAGCGGGCAGCCAGGGAGACCAGGCCTTGTCCAAGGGGGCCCTCAGGGGCATCCTGCAGTGCAGAGACAGCACGTGAGGGACGGGGGTGGGGGGGGGCAGCTGACCCCAGCTCCCTGCTGGAACTGGGCCTCCCCTGGTCACCAGCGCTGACCCGGGGGCCCTATGGGCAGAAGGGAGGGTCTGGGGTAGGGCGGGCACTCACCAGGCCTGTAGGTTGGGCGTGTCCGACCCAGACAGGCAGAGCAGGCCGGCTCCGAGCACGGACCAGGCTGTGCTGTTCTCCGCCTCCTGCTCGCTGACCCCCACCCCAAAGCGGAGTTAGTCCCGGAGCTGGCGGTCAGCCCCGCTGCAGGGTCGCCCCAGCCGCCCCGCGCCCAGCCTCACCTGCGCTTCCCCACCAGGCCCTGCAGCAGCCGCTGAAGCCGGGCGCCCTCCCGCAGGCGACTGAGCTCGCTGGTGAACGTCCCGTCCGAGTGTCGCGGGGCCCTGGGGGGGTCGGCGGGCCGGGGTCAGGGCGGGGGTCGGGGGGCGCGCGGCAGGGAGTCGGGGGGGCGGGGGGCGGGGGTCGGAGGGGTCGGGCGGCTCACCGGGGGGGCGCGGGGCGCGCGGCGGGGCCCCCGAGGAGCAGCAGCAGCAGCAGCAGGGGCCGGGGGACCATGGCGGGGCCGGTCGCGGGTGCGGATCGCGGCGGCCACGGCCTGGGCCCCGCGCGGCCCCTTTATGGCGGCGCCCGGAAGGGGGACGGGCCGCGCCCAGCGATCTCGGGAAGGTCAGGGCCGCCCCCCCAGCTGTCGCCCGGCCGCCTCCCGCCCCCTCCGCCGCGCTGGCGCCCCTCGGCTGCTGGGGGCGGGGATCCGGGCCTGGGGGTGAAGGGGCGAAGGGGGCGCGGGACCCTCAGAGGGAGCAGCACCGCGAAGCCTCGGAGCCTGCCGGGCGCTGGGTGAGGGGCCAGGGCTTGGGGGGCGCTGGGGTGAGGGGCCAGGGCTTGCGGGGCGCTGGGGCTCCCGGGGAAGGGGCGTCTCGGCTCCAGCCGGTCCCAGGGAGGCCCGAGGCCGAGGCTGCTGGGCGCGGTGTTGGCGTCTGATTTCCAGCGCCGGGTTCGGAACCCGGAGGCTCCTGACCTCGCGGTGCCGCCCCCCTCGCGGGACGCTCCGTCCCCCAAAGTGAAGCCCGGTCCCCGCTCCACACTCGGCCCCCCGCCCGCTCTCCGCCTCCCGGGACGGCGCACGGGAGCCCCGCGGGGTTTGTCCCGGGGCGGCCGGCCGGTCCCGAGCGGAGTCTCGTCCCCGCGACGTGAACCGCGGCCGGGGGTGGCGGGGCCGCGTCCTTCACCCGCGGGGCTGTTCGTGGACACGGCTGTGCAGACGGCCCCGGGGACCCCGTCTTCAGGTGTTCGGGGTGGCGCTTGCTGGAGACGGAGTCGTTCTGTTAAATATTCGCGCCAACGCTTCGCTTCCCACGGCAGCGCCTCCGGCAGCGCGGCAAGGACGGGGCTCGGCGTCGTCTGGGTCCTGCGCTCGCGGCCCGGCGGGTGCCTCGTCCCACTGCGCCCGTGACCGCGTCTCCCCAGTGACCCGCGCGGCGGAGCGTCCGTTTGCACCCACGGAGCGAGTGGGCGGGAAACGCCGTCAGGCCTTCCACACTCCGCCGGCCTCGCCGCCTTTCTTTCTTTCCTTTCTTTTCTTTCTCCTCCCTCCCTCCCTCCCTCCCTCCCTCCCTTCTTTCCTTCCTCCCTCCCTTCTTTCCTCCCTCCCTCCCTCCCTCCCTCCTTCCTTCCTCTTTCCTCCTTCCTTTCTCTCTTTCTCTCTTTTTCTTCTCTCTCGCTCTGTCGCCCAGGCTGGAGTGCAGTGGGGCCATCTCTGCTCACTGCAACCTCTGCCTCCCGGGTTCAAGCCACTCTCACACCTTGGCCCCCCAGGCAGCTGGGATTACAGGCGAGCACCCCCGCGCCCGGCTAAATTTTGTATTTTTAGTAGAGACGCGATTTGACCATGCCGGCCAGGCTGGTCCCAAACTCCTGACCTCAGGTGATCCGCCGCCCTGGCCTCGGTTTCTCTGCACACTGCCGGCCGACCTCGCCGCAGCCGCTGTTCTTAGCGTCCGCGGTTCCAGCTGCCCGGCTGCTCCCTGCTCTGGTCTCAGTTGCATTTCCCCAGCGGCAGAGACACAAGCTCTTTCCAGGAGCTCATGTCCATTTGCAGGTTGCTGTCCGTTAAATGTGGCTTCACGTCTCCTGCCCATTTTTAAATTGTTCTCTATGGCTGACTTTATTTTTACCATGGAAATATATGCACAACGTGAAACTTAGCATTTTAGCCATTTTGAAGTATAAAGTGATACTCAGCACAGTCACGAAATCGTGCGGCCATCACTGCTGTTTCCTTCCAGAACTTTTTAATCCCCAGATGGAAAACTTCTGAGTAACTGGGTTTAAGGGCGTGCGCCACCACATCCCCTCGGGTTTTTTAAAATTGTATTTATTTTTATTTTTTCGAGACAGACTCTCACTCTGTCAGCCAGGCTGGAGTGCACTGACTAAATCTCGGCTCGCTGCAGCCTCCGACTCCCAGGTTCAAACGATTCTCCTGCCTCAGCCTCTCTAGTGGCTGGGATTACAGGCACCTGCCACCACGCCTGGCTAACGTTTGCATTTTTAGTAGAGATGGGGTTTCATCATGTTGCCCAGGCTGGTCTCAAACTCCTGACCTCAGGTGATCCACCCACCTTAGCCTCCCAAAGTCCTGGGATCACAGGCGTGCGCCACTGTGCCCGGCCACTTATTTTTGTATTTTCAGCAGAGCGGGGGTTCCGCTGTGTTTTCCAGGCTGGTCTGGAACTCCTGACCTCAGGTGATCCACCCACCTTAGCCTCCCAAAGTCCTGGGATCACAGGCATGAGGCGCCGTGCCTGGCCCCTTTTGTATATTGTGAATAGTGCTGCTGTGAACGTTTACACACAAGCCTTTGTTTGAACACCTGTTTTCACTTCTTTCGGGTCTATAACATATACCCGCTGAGCCATTTGGAAACTTTGTATGTAGCTTGTTGAGGAACTGCTGAGCTTTCCCCCACAGCGGCCACACCATTTCACATGCCCGCCGGCAGTGAGCTTTCCTCGTCCTTACATTTCTTTTTATTGTTGCCATCCTAATGTAGGAAATGGTATCTTATTGTGGTTTTGATTTGCATTTCCCCAGTGACTAAAGGTGTTGAGCATCTTTTCAAGTGCTTTTTGGTCACTTGTGTATTTTTTTTTTTTTTTAAGACAGAGTCTTGCTCTGTTGCCCAGGCTGGAGTGCAGTGGTGCGATCTCAGGTCACTGCAACCTCCACCTCCCAGGTTCGAGCGATTCTCCCACCGCAGCCTCCCTAGTGGCTGTGATTATGGGCGCCTGCCACCATACCCGGCTAATTTTTGCATTTTTAGTAGAAATGGGGTTTTACCATGTTGGTCAGGCTGGTCTCCAACTCCTGACTTCAAGTGGCCCACCTACCTTGGCCTCCCAAAATGCTGGGATTACAGGCGTGAGCCACCGCACCTGGCCAAATGTGCATCTTCTTTGAAGAAATGTCTGTTCGCGTCCTTTGCCTGTTTTTATTATTTATTTTATTTTGAGACAGGGTCTCACTTTGTTGCCCAGGCTGTAGTGTACTGGCTGAATCACAGCTCACTGCAGCCTCAGCTTCCTGGGCTCAAATGATCCTCCTACCTCAGACTCCCAGATAGCTGGGACTACAGGCTCACACCACCACGTACAGCTAATGTTTGTATTTTCAGTAGAGACGGGGTTTCACCGTGTTGGCCAGGCTGCTCCAATTCCTGACCTCAGGTGATCTGCCCACTTTGGCCTCCCGCAGTGCTGGGATTGCAGGCGGCAGCCACCGCGCCCGGCCGGCCTGTTTTTACAGGATCTTCTGTACATAAAATCTGCGCGTAGAAACAGTTTTCTTTTCCAATTTTGGATACGTTTAATTTCTTTTTCTTGAGGAATGCTCTGGCTATAGTTTCCAGAACAGTGTTGAACGGAAGCAGCAGCAGTGGGCATCCTTGTCTCTTTCCTGATCTTAGGGAAAGGCTTTCCGTTTCTCACCATTGAATATGATGTTAGCTGTGTTTTTGTGTTTGCTTTTTTGAGACAGAGTCTTCCTCTGTGTATGATCTCGGCTCACTGCAACCTCCACCTCCTGGATTCAAGTAATTCTCGTGTCTCAGCCTCCTGAGAAGCTGGGACTACAGGCGTGCACCCCACACCCAGCTAATTTTAAATTTTCTTTTTTAGACATGGGATTTTAACATGCTGGCAGGCTGGTCTTGAACTCCTGCCCTCAAGTGATCTGCCTGCCTCAGCCTCCCAAACTGCTGGGATTACACATGTGAGCCACTGCGCCCAGCCAGTGAAGTTTGTTCCTATTCCTAGTTTATTGGGTCTTCTTATCATGAAAGCGTTTTGAATTTTATCAAATGTTTTTATCTGCATCAATTGAGATGATCACATGGGTTTTTATTCATTCTGTTAATGTGATGTATTACATTGAATTTCATCTATTGAGTCACCCTTGCGTTCCTGGGATAAATCCCACTGGGTTATGATGCATAATCCTTTTAAAATGCTGCTTTTCTGGCAGGCAGCACTTTAAAACGGATTGTGTTTGCTCATGCTTTGTTGAGACTTTTTGCATCAATATTCATAAAGGGTACTCATCTGGAATTTTCGTTCTGTGATGTCATTACTGTTGAGTTTTGAAAGTTACTCATATTTTTTGTATACAAGCCATTTGCTGGATATACGATTGGCTATTTTCTTTTTTTAAATTTTTTGGTCTACTTTTATTAATTAATTATTATTATTTTGAGACGGAGTCTCACTCTGTTGCCCAGGCTGGAGTGCAGTGGTGCAATCTCGGGTCACTGCAACCTCTGCTTCTTGGGTTCAAGCGATTCTTCTGCCCCAGCCTCCTGGGCAGCTGGGATCACAGGCACGCACCACCACGCCCAGCTAATTGCTGTATTTTTAGTAGAGACGGGGTTTCACCATGTTGGTCAGGCTGGTCTCGAACTCTTGACCTCTTGATCCGCCTGCCTCGGTTTCCCAAAGTGCTGGGATTACAGGTGTGAGCCACCATGCCTGGCCCGAATTGCTATGTTCTTCCATTCTGCAGCTGGAAGTCTTTAACTTTGATGAAGTCCACATTATCTATTTTTTCATTTGCAGATTGCGCTCTTAACGTCACGTCTAAAAGTGCGTTGCCTAATCACAGGTTTCAAAGTTTTTTTTCCACCTTTTCTTCTAAAATGTTTATAGTTTTAGGTTTTACACTTAAATCTATGATTCATTTTGAGTTTTTTTTTAAAAGATGGGGTTTTAACATGTTGGTCATGCTGGTCTTGAACTCCTGACCCCAGGTGATCCGCCCACCTCGGCCCCCAAAGTGCTTCGATTACAGGCGTGAGCCACCACACCTGGCTTCAGTTAGTTTTTATATGAAGTGTTAGCTTTAGATAAAGTTTTTTTTTTTTTTTTTTTTTTTTTTTTTGTGGCTGTTTTCCTTTGTTTCTTTTTGTTTTCAAGAGACAGGGTCTCCCCGTTACCCAGGCTGGAGTGCAGTGGCGCGATCGTAGCTCAGTGTAACCTTGAACTCCTGGGCGCACGCACTCCCACCTCCTCAGCCTCCCCAGCAGCTGGGACTGCAGGCGCGCACCACCATACCCAGCTAATTTTCATTTTTTGTACAGATAGAAAATGTTGCCTAGACTGATCTCAAACTCCTGACCGCAGGTGATCCACCCCACTCGGCCTCCCAAAGTGCTGGCATTACGGCGTGAGCCACTGCACCTGGCCTATACTATGTACTTCTGTTGTTTATCTGAAAATGAAATGTAACCAGTTGTGATCATATCTCACTGCAATCAGAGCTCACTGCAGCCTCAGTCTCCCGGGCTTAAGTGATCCTCTGGCCTCAGCCTCCTGTACAACTGAGACCATGGATCCATGATGCCACACCCAGCTAATTTTCTTGGTTTTTTTGTAGAGATGGGATCTCGCCATGTTGCCCCAGCTGGTCTCAAACTCCCAGGATCAAGTGATCCTCCCACCCCAACCTCCCAAAGTTCTGTGATTACAGGCATGAGCCACACGCCCAGCCTAACCAATTTTTAATAAGGACCTCAATTCATGCCTAACACATGAAAAAAATCAACTGAAAAATGCTGTCAGGAGAATGAGAAGACACAGGCTGGGAAATGATATTTGCAAATCACAATGTCCGACAGTGTTTTCTTCCATCTTAGTGTGTAGCCGCACGTTGTTGATTTTAGGGTCATTTTCCTGATGGCTACGAATGTTTGACCACTCCTTGTGTGTGGGCCTGTTAACCATCAGGGTGCCATCTTTTGGGATGTGCCTGTCAAAAATCTTTGCTTTTGTTAAAAATTGGGTTGTCTACGCTGGGTGCAGTGGCTCCTGTAATCCCAGCACTTTGGGAGGCTGAGGTGGGTAGATACTTGAGGCCAGGAGTTTGAGACCAGCCTGGCCAACATGGCGAAAACCCATTTCTACTAAAAATGCAAACAAAGTTAGCTGGGCATTATTGTGCACCTGTAGTCCCGTCTACTCGGGAGGCTGAGGCAGGAGAATCATCTGAACCTCACTGAGGCAGAGAACTTCACTGCACTCCAGCCTGGGTGACAGAGCAAGACTGTCTCAAAAAAAAAAAAAAAAAAAAAAAAAAAAAAAGACGTGCAGAAGCTCACGCCTGTAATCCCAGAACTTTGGGAAGCTAAGTCGGGTGGATCACCTGAGGTCAGGCGTTTGAGACCAGCCTTGCCCACATGGTGAAACCTCGTCTCTACTAAAAACACAAAAGAATTAGCCAGGTGTGGTGGTGGTTGGCGCCTGTAGTCCCAGGTACTTGGGAGGCTGCGGCAGGTGAATCGCTTGAACCCGGGAGGTGGAGGTTGCAGAGAGCCAAGATTGTGCCACTGCACTCCAGCCTGGGCAACAAGAGCGAAACTCGGTCTAAAAAAAAAAAACAACTGGGTTCTCTGCCCTTTGTCATTGTTTTAAAAGCGGTCTTTGTATACTCATCTGCGTGCTGCAAACAGCCTTTCCCGCCCAGCTGTTTTCACTGTCTGATGGTGGCAGACATCCTGCGGCCAGCTCGGCCGGCTGCGCCACCGCTAGATGCCAGCCCACACCCGCCTGGTGCAGCCCCTTCCCCTAAGACCCCAGGACCTTGCCTGTGACCCTCCAGTGCCTGCTCCTGCCGAGTCCTCTCCCCGCCCCTCAGTGCACGGCCAGTGCCTCCATCTGGCCCGTGTCCTCCGCACCTTGGAGGTCAGGATCCTCAATTCCGGGCACCGCAGCTCCTCCGGGCCTCCCAGAAGCGGACAGGACGGTTGGCACGTGCATCGCCCGGGGTCCCACGCAGCGGTGCCGCCTCGTGCCTCTAACCCCCTTTCGCGACAGAAAGCCCCGCTCAGGTCACGTGTCACCCCGATGTCATGAAGCCCGCAAACTTCTCGGAAGCACTTTCTCTTCCGGCCGTTTGGAACCCGCCCGGGCCGGTCCTCTCCTTCCAGCGGCCTCCTCGGTCGGTGGGGCCGGGACCCCTGCCCAGGGTCCCAGGGGCGCCTGCCTGGCTCGGGGTCACGGCCGGAGTGAGGCGGTCGCGGGGCGAGGATCAGGCTGCTGCGGGCGGGGTGGGAGCCACGCGTGGGCGGCCGGGTCGGGCGCGGAGGGTGCGCGCGAGGCCGGAGCGAGTCCGCGGAGGAGGCGGAGCTCGGGTCTTCCGCGTCTGGCGAGACCGGCCCGGGAAGGACGTTTTCCCAGAAGCCAGGAGAGCTGGGCGGGCTGCGCGGGACGGCGCTGGCTCGATGCCCGCGCGCTTAGGGGCCGGGTCTGGCCGCCCCTCCATCCCTGGGGGGTTATCGGGGTGCAGACCCGCGCGTCCCCGCCGACCCCGCGTGACAAACACCTCGCTCAATTCCCGTTTCTTTGGGCCGTCGCGTTCGTCCACCTGCCCGTCTTTCCCTGCGCAAAACTCCAGGATGAGCCGATACTGGGCGGGGGCGCACGGTGCAGCGCCGCAGGGACCCCCCCACTGCCCCCCGCGCCCCCGCGAGCCGGGTGGGGGCGGGACCGGGGCCTGGCGGGGCGTGCCCGAGGGGAGGGGCTCCCGGGCTGGGTGCCCGGCGCTGTCCGCGGCGCTCAGCGCCCGCCGGGGCGCGTGGGGCCGGCACGCCATGGGGAACCGCAGCGCCGCGGACGCGGGCGGGCTGCTGGCGGGGCCGGGTGCGGCGGCGCTGGTGGGGGGCGTGCTGCTCATCGGCGCGGTGCTCGCGGGGAACTCGCTCGTGTGCGTGAGCGTGGCCACCGAGCGCACCCTGCAGACGCCCACCAACTCCTTCATCGTGAGCCTGGCGGCCGCCGACCTCCTCCTCGCCCTCCTGGTGCTGCCGCTGTTCGTCTACTCTGAGGTGAGCCGCGTCCGCGCCCGCTCCCTGGTTCCCGGTCCCTGTCCCCGCAAAGGACCCGGCGCGACCCGGCCCCTTTCAGCCTCGGAGCTTCCAGCCCGGGCGGCGGCAGCTGCGCTCCGCCTGTTCCCACCACCGCCCCCGCGCGCCCTCCCACCCGCTGCGCTGTCCGTCCCGGACCCTCGTTCCACTCCTCCCTCCCCCTCTGTCTTGGCATCTGCTACCCAGGAGATGCCCCTGTCCTTCGATCCAGGGACCCCAGAAACAGACGACTTTGTCAAGCCCAGTCCCCCATCCATAGCTGGATTTCACCCCCAGGGAAACCAGCTGGACAGGCTCAGCCCCCCGGATGCCCTGGGACACACACACACACACACACACACACACACACTGCGCACGCACACACTGCACACATACACTATGCACACACATTCAGTGTATACACACTGTGCACACACACTGCACTCGGCCACAGCCACTGCCCACCACGCACGCCCAGTGCAGACACTTGCACACCTCCAGAAGGAGGCTCAGCTTGCAGGGGGGGGGGGGGGAGGCCTGGGCTGGACAGAATCCAGGGGAGGGGAGGGTGTGCGGGAGCCAGGACCCTGCTGAGAACCCTGGGGGGTGAGAGGGAATTGGGGGATGGAGCCCACACCCCATACCAGGTCTGGCCCTGGAGTGGGTCAGCCTTGGTGCCAGCCCCTCTGCTGCCAGAGAAAAGCAGCTTAGGGCTGAGCTGGGGACGTGGTGTCCTGGACCATGGGGGAGGTGGCTGAGGTTTCCCCTTGGTGGCCACGGTGAGTCCTCCTGGGGCAGGGACCAGCAGTGCCAGACACGCATGACCTGTGCTCCTTTCGAGCCACAGACGTCACAGTGACGACGCTTAAGCTCCTAATCTTCCCAAATCGGCGGGAAGGGATTAAGGGGACTGCCTGCTCCTTTGCCCTTGGAGAGTAACTCCGTGTGGAGTCCCACGCTGGGCATTGGGCAAGGTCGTCACATTTTTTAAACTAATTTATCTTTAAGACAATCGTCATGTGGATACTGCCATCACCCTTGTTACAGATGAGGAAACAGAGATGAAGTAACCACCCCAGCCTCCCACACTGAGCTTCACCAGACAGTCTGGCTCGGGCTCTGAGGGACTGAGCAGCCAGCTTCACGTTGCAGGCCCAGCGGGGACCCTGCCTACCCCAGGCTGGGCAGAGGGCTCTCCTTGAGCCCCATGACGTCAGGCCCCGCTCCCAGGGTCTTCCCCAGGCCTTTCTCATGTTTGTAACAAAAGGGAGACCAAGTCCAGGAGAGTGAATCACGCCTGTAATCCCAGCACTTTGGGAGGCCAAGGCTGGAGGATCAGGAGGTCAGGAGTTCGAGACCAGCCTGGGAAACATACCAGACCCCGTCTCTACAAAAAATTAAACATTAGGCAGGGCGCAGCGGCTCATGCCTGTAATCCCAGCACTTTGGGGTGCAGAGGTGGGTGAATCAGGAGGTCGGAGTTCGAGACCAGCCCGGCCAACATGGTGAAACCCGGTCTCTACTAAAAGTACAAAAATTAGTTGGGGGGGGGTGGTGCACACCTGTAGTCCCAGCTACCTGGATACTGCGGTGGGAGGATCACTTGATCCCAGAGTTCTAGGCTACAGTGACTCACTGCACTCCAGCCTGGGCGACAGAATGAGACCCCGACTGAAAAAAAAAGAAAAAGGGGGTGACGTGAGTCGGGGAGGAGGTGTTTCTCTGCCCCCTCCTCTGGCCTCTGGCTCACAGCTGGGCCCTCTTCTCGATACTCAGCCCCGGAACTATCCAGAAGAGCGAGGGTCACAAGGGCCCGGCGGTGGCTGTGAGGGTCCCTGGCCGCGCAGCGGCGGGAAACCTCAGGTCTCGTGTTGCTGCGCCCTCGGTGTCCCGTGCAGGTCCAGGGCGGCGCGTGGCTGCTGAGCCCCCGCCTGTGCGACGCTCTCATGGCCATGGACGTCATGCTGTGCACCGCTTCCATCTTCAACCTGTGCGCCATCAGCGTGGACAGGTGCGCCGACCTCCCCGCGCGCGCCCCCGCACCCCTCCCGCCGCCGCCGCCCTCACCGCGGCCTTCGTGCTGTCCCGCGCCCCCTCGGCGCTCCCCGCAGGTTCGTGGCCGTGGCTGTGCCGCTGCGCTACAACCGCCAGGGCGGGAGCCGCCGGCAGCTGCTGCTCATCGGCGCCACGTGGCTGCTGTCCGCGGCGGTGGCGGCGCCCGTGCTGTGCGGCCTCAACGACGTGCGCGGCCGCGACCCCGCCGTGTGCCGCCTGGAGGACCGCGACTACGTGGTCTACTCGTCCGTGTGCTCCTTCTTCCTGCCCTGCCCGCTCATGCTGCTGCTCTACTGGGCCACGTTCCGCGGCCTGCGGCGCTGGGAGGTAGCCCGTCGGGCCAAGCTGCACCGCCGTGCGCCCCGCCGGCCCAGCGGCCCCGGCCCGCCTTACCCCGCGCCCTGCCTCCCGGAGGACCCCTGCGGCCCGGACTGCGCGCCCCCCGCCCCCAGCCTTCCCCAGGACCCGTGTGGCCCCGACTGCGCGCACCCCGCCCCCGGCCTTCCACAGGACTCCTGCGGCCCCGACTGCGCGCCCCCCACCCCCAGCCTCCATCAGGGCCCCTGTGGCCCGGACTGCGCGCCCCCCACCCCCGGCCTCCGTCAGGGCCCCTGTGGCCCGGACTGCGCGCCCCCCACCCCCGGCCTCCGTCAGGGCCCCTGTGGCCCGGACTGCGCGCCCCCCGCCCCAAGCCTTCCCGAGGATCCGTGCGGCCCCACCTGTGCGCCCTACGACACCGTCCAGGCCACCGCGCTCCCACCGCAGACCCCGCCGCAGACCCGCAGGAAGAGGCGTGCCAAGATCACCGGCCGGGAGCGCAAGGCCATGAGGGTCCTGCCGGTGGTGGTCGGTGGGTTCCCCTTTTGGGGGACCGGGGGGGGGAAGGAGGGGAGGAGTACGGGGCGCAGAGGGCGGGGGGGGCGCTGACGCGGCTCTCGGCGCCCCCAGGGGCCTTCCTGCTGTGCTGGACCCCCTTCTTCGTGGTGCACATCACGCAGGCGCTGTGTCCCGCCTGCTCCGTGCCCCCACGGCTGGTCAGCGCCGTCACTTGGCTGGGCTACGTCAACAGCGCCCTCAACCCCGTCATCTACACCGTCTTCAACGCCGAGTTCCGCAACGTCTTCCGCAAGGCCCTGCGTGCCTGCTGCTGAGCCGGGCACGGCCCCCAGGGACCAAGGAGATGGGAGGGCGGTTTTGTACGTTAATTAAACAAATTCCTTCCCAAACTCAGCTGTGAAGGTTCCTGGGGTTTGAGGGGAACACGGGAGGAGGGGCTTCTGCCTCAGTGGCCCCAGACCCCCAGCCACTTAACCCCTTCCTTCCTGCCAAGGCGGCCCACAGAGCAGACCCCCCCCACCCTCAGGCCCACTCAGTTTGCAGAACCCAGGCCCAGCCTCCCTGCTATGCAGGGGAGAGGAGGGAGGGGAGAGGAACTAGCATCCAGGAAGGCAAGGTGTCTCCTGGGCAGCCCAGTCCCAATGGGAAGAAATCAGCCATCAGGCCCTGCCCAGACCACCTCCCGCCTCAGTAGACCAGGCACAGGGGGCTCCAGACTCTGTCCCACAGAACCCGGCAGGGGTGCTCAACCCATCATTTTAGAAGCTACCTTGAGACCGGGGCACAGCTTCCTGCCAGTCCCCGGGCGAGGATGCCCCAAGCCCCACAGGAAGGGGCCTGTGATGCTGGGTGGGGCCCCACCAAGGAGCTTCCCTGGACGGGGCTCCATGCTCAGTCACCCCGGTGCCAGCCAACCCTGAGGCCAAGGAGTCAGCGGGGTGAGGGTGGGCAGAGCACAGCCAGGGGTAGGCAGAGCCACCCAAGCTTCCTGTCTGCATTAGGCTGCCTGGCTCCCTCAACCATAGCGCAGCCCCCGACACTGGGGGAGGAGGGGCGGCTCCCAGGGGCCTCCATGCAGGAACAGCCCACCCTGGACTGGCTCCAGCTCTCTCCCAGGCCCAGGCTGTGGGAGAAGAGGGGGGCCCTCCGCCTCCCAGTCCTGCCAGCTGGACCCTTCCTGTGCTGGGGATGTGGCGTCTGAGCCAGGGCAGCCAGCCAGGGTGCTGAGCTCCCACGGGAACATTGAGACTCCAGGCTGTGCGGTCTACAGCACAAGGCACAGCCTCAGCATGCCAAACAGTCAGTGCAGGCTGCATGCGGTGGTCACGCCTGTAATCACAGCTACTCGGGAGGCCGAGGCGGAAGGAGCCCTTGAGGCTGGGAGGTTGAAGCTGCAGTGAGCTGAGATTGCGCCATTGCACTCCAGCCTGCGTGACAGAGCGAGACCCTGTCTCGAAAAAGAAAAGAAATATTGGGTGGAGACAGGGCCATGTCCATTTACTGCTGAGGTGCGGCTGCGCCATCCCGTCTGGTGACCACGCACTCCTGTCATGGCCTCTGCTGCCTCCAGGACACCTCCCCTGACTACCAACTTCCCAGGTCATCCCCGGAGCAGACTGAATCACAATGGATTCTGGTCTGACACCCACGAGTAAAGGAGGGGCTCCCTCCAGCTTTGTCCCAGGACCCAAGTCCCCGGATGTGCCTCACTGACAGCGCTGGAGGCCATGGAAGGTGTGACATGCACCTGAGGGTCCTGGGGGTGCTGACACCCTGGGGCAGGGCGACCTCTGATCTCAGCCTCCCGGGCTTGAAAAGGAGCTGTGGAAACCTAGGATCCCCACAGATGTGTGGTGCTCCGCCTTCCATCCTGCGGAAAATCGGGGAAGAGTGAGTTGCCCCCACAATTCCAGGGAATACCCCCTTTCCATTCCTGCAGGGGCTGGTTGGTTGCAGGAGGCCGGGGGCTTCCCTGCTGGCAGTGCACTGTGCCGGGGCTCCCACGGTGCCTCCCCAGCAGGCGGGCGCTCAGGCTCTTTCCTGTGGGTGTGCTCTGCACAGCAGCAATGCTGGTGTTTTCAGCTTTGGGGGATTCTTCGTAAGGGGTGCAGGTCCTCACTTCCCTGCCACCTTTATGTTGGCTAAAACCCAAAGGAACAGGCCCAGCTCTGCTGCCTGGCCTGCCTGCCTAGATGGGGCCAGGTTCACGGTGGGGCCTTGGAGATGCCTCCCACGGTAGCCATGGCGGACCCTGCGGGGTTGGATGAAAACCCACTCAATGTAGTGTCTCAGAGGAAGGACCAGGTGGGTGAGGGGAGGGAGGAGGGGCAGCATTTGGGGCACATCCCGCAGTAGGCGAGAGCCCTTTCCAGCCTCCACTGCTCACTGGTAGCACCCATGGCACAGCACCAAGTGCCCCCAGCAGGAAGCTGAAGCATCAGCAGGGGCGTGGCCTGGCTGGGCAGAGGCTTTACTAAGTAAACAGGCCGGGCTCAGTGGCCCATGCCTGTAATCCCAGCACTTTGGCAGGCTGAGGCGGGCGGATCACCTGAGGTCAGGAGTTAGAGACCATCCTGGCCAACATGGCGGAAACCCCGTCTCTACTAAAAATACAAAAATTAGCTGGGTGTGGTGGCGCGTCCCTGTAATCCCAGCCACTTGGGAGGCTGAGGCAGGAGAATCACTTGAACCTGGGAGTTGGAGCTTATAATGAGCTGAGATTGCACCACTGCACTCCAGCCTGGGTGAGTGAGACTCAAGTCTCAAAAAGAAAAAGAAAAAGAAAAAATATCAGAATAAACCAAGTGGTCCGAGACACCCACAGACTCAAAAGACGGGGCCTCTGTGGAGCCCACAGCCGGTGAGCCTCTCCCCGAGCACAGCACCTTCCAGGGGGCTCATGCCCAGCTGGGGCAGAAAGCGCTTCAGAAAACAGCATCAGAGCTGCTGGCGCGCATGCCTCCTGGCGCTGCCAGCCCACCCCGGTGCCTGCTGAGCTGTTGCTGGATCTGCACTTGCCCTAGGGCAGCCACAGCTGTGGAGCCTTCTGCGTGCAGAGAACACAGGCCATGAGAGAAGAGGCTTCTAGAACAAGAGTAATGCCGCTCCAGCAGCACTCGTGGTTGGCAGGGCAGGTGGGTCCCCTGTCCAGGCCCAGCCCAGCACCCAAACATGCAGGATGCACCCCCTGGTGCCCCCGCAGGCTTCCGCCCCTTCTGTCTCCTCCGCCTGGCACCAGGGCCGTGAGAAACAAGGAGACCAGGAGGACATGAGGCTGTGCATGTGGAGGCCTGACGGAGGCCACCGAGCCATCCACGTGATGAAGCTGTGCATGTGGAGGCCTGATGGAGGCCACCGAGCCATCCACGTGATGAAGCTGTGCATGTGGAGGCCTGATGGAGGCCACCGAGCCATCCACGTGATGAAGCTGTGCATGTGGAGGCCTGACCGAGGCCACCGAGCCATCCACGTGATGAAGCTGTGCATGTGGAGGCCTGACCGAGGCCACCGTGCCGTCCACGTGATAAGGCCGTGCGTGTGGAGGCCTGATGGAGGCCACCGAGCCATCCACGTGATGAAGCTGTGCATGTGGAGGCCTGATGGAGGCCACCGAGCCATCCACGTGATGAAGCTATGCATGTGGAGGCCTGACCGAGGCCACCGAGCCATTCACGGGATGAAGCCGTGCATGTGGAGGCCTGACCGAGGCCACCGAGCCGTCCACATGAAGCCATGCGTGTGGAGGCCTGACCGAGGCCACCGCGCCGTCCACGTGATGAGGCTGTGCGTGTGGAGGCCTGACGGAGGCCACTGAGGTGTCCACATGTGCTAAACAGGCTGCGCTGGGTCCTCGGGCTCACTCAGGCGGCCTGGGCACAGGAGGGCACCATGTGCCCCGAAGCCTGGTGCGACGCTCCCAGCAGCTGCGAGGTTCTTGTGGAACAGAAGGAATGAAGACTCCCCTGGACTACACGTGCCAGCCACTGGACACCACACTTTGGCTGGTCACACTTCCCCATGCACTGGAGGTGTGGTGGACTCGGACTTCCCACCTGCATGGGCAGGAGGAAGGGAACCCCTCCCGGAGGGCTGGCACTGAAACTGGCCGTCTGCGTAGGGAAGGGAGGCCTTATTTACACTTTATTGACAGACACACACGTATGTACATGCGTCGCAGCACGGGACCCGTGGCAAGACTGGACGCTCATGATCCTGGGGCTGAGTCTCTCCTCCAGCGGGCAGGGGCCGAGGCGGGAGGAGTCCGTCCCCAGGGCACCATTACTTAAAGTTTCTTCACCTTCCCACACCCCTCTTCTCAACGTCCCCCGAGAGTCCTTGGGGGGCCTTCGACCTGCAAAAACCTTGCAGGAGTGTAAGGGGATCCAGCTCACAGGGCGGCTGGGGGAGCCTCACACGGTCACCTTCTCCATCACGCTTTCAGCCACGTGGACTTCGTCTGCCTGCACCGTGACAGCTGCCGACTGGCCACACATGTGCTGGTGATCTTTCCAGTCCTGGAAGGGAGGACACACCCACGTCAGCAAGGTCAGGGGGTGGAGCAGGGCCTTGAAGCGGGACCTGGGCAGGGTCCCCAAGGTGGACCCCAGGCCCCCAACCCTAGAGGCTGCAGCCATGTGTGAGCTCACACGGGGGTGCTGAGAGAATACCCTCCCCAGCTCCCGTGCACCTGCACTCGTGGCCTCTGCTCCGATCCTGCCTCCCCACACTCTCTCGGTTTGCGGAATCGGATCAAAAGGCAAGAGGCTTGGCGCGGTGCCTCACGCCTGTCATCCCAGCACTCGGGAGGCCGAGGTGTGCGGGTCACCTGAGGTCAGGAGTTTGAGACCTGCCTGGCCGACATGGTGCAACCCCATCTCTACTAAAAATACAAAAATTAGTCAGGTGTGGTGGTGGGCACCTGTGGTCCTAGCTACTCGGGAGGCTGAGGCAGGAGAACCCGTTGAACCCGGGCAGCAGATAGTACCATTGTACTTCGGCAGGGGCGACAGAGCGAGACTCTGTATCAAAAAAAAAGGCAAAAAACAAACCTGGGCACCACTCTGCAAACCGGTTGCTTTGTGTCAGGGATGTAACAAAAAACATCACACATGCAGAAAATATTTGCATATGTAAATTATGTATGTAAATTTCAATCCAGTTCTGTTTTTGTTTTGTTTTTTGAGATGGGGTTTCCCTCTTCTTGCCCAGGCTGGAGGGCAATGGTGCAATCTCAGCCCACTGCAACCTCCACCTCTGGGGCTCAAGCGATTCTCCTGCCTCAGCTTCCCGAGTGTCTGGGATTACAGGCACCCGCCACCACACCCGGCTAATTTTTGTATTTTTAGTAGAGATGGGGTTGCACCATGTCGGCCAGGCTGGTCTTGAACTC